AACAAACAGGGGGGGCGCGGTGAAACCCAATTTGAAAGTCAGGTGGGGGGGGACGTAAAGGGGATTTTTTGGGCATAATTTTGAAAAAGACCGTATTTGCGGGAAAGCCATAAATGAAAAAGCCGTAAAGCGGGGGCCCCCCTTAAATAACCCAAAATATTTTTTAGTTCCCCGCAGTGTTTTAGACTGCTGGGGTAGAAACTCCTTGAAGAACGGCGTTATTTCCTTTATATGTTTTTATTCTTTCCCCACAAAAAATGTCCCCTTTTTTACCCGTCCCCGCCCGTCTGTCTGCCGTCTAACTATACATCCATCTATCTGTACATCTACTGTCGTTTAAAAGACATCCCCTCTGTTAAACTGTACATCTATCTGCTGTCCTTTTTTGCTGTCTCCTATTCTCTTTTCTGTGCTAAATTCACTTTTCTGTCCTTCTTTCTTTGTTTTTCGTGTGTGCCTTGAAGAATGGTTTTTTTAGACAAGCGCAGATAACAAGTGACATTTGGGTTAATTTTGGGCCCCATGCACACAACAATTTTCTAAAGTCCCGTCATCAGTCCCGTCTGCCTGTCTTTTAAAATCTATTTTCTGTCTGTCATCTTCTCTTTCCAGCAAATGCTTTCTGGGCCCAGTTTCAGCTTCTGTGGGTCCCTGTTTATTTATGTCTTAAAACTACAAACACTTTAAAAGCACTTGGGGCTTGAATTTTGGGGGTTTTCCTAAGTAAAATTTAAAATTATGAATAATAACGTACTTAAAAGTACATGTGAGAGATAGAGATAAAGAGAGGGTAAAGACAGGGCCCGGAAAAGCCAAAAACCCCGCCCCCAGCCCGAATATATTAGAACATAAAAGGAACACGGGACAGACCAATTAACCCCCCAAAGTCAGGTCACAAACCACTGAAAAGGAAAGGGGCACGGTTCCCGAAAGTAGCAAAGCTAGTCAGGGCCCAATCACACCCACCCACACCCACTCATGCACTTATCTTTAAACCCTTTTTTTATTCCTCTTAAAAAATTTATTAAAAATGAAAAGACATCAATGAATTTCCTTTTTTTTGCCACACTATTTGGTTTTTAGGGTGGCGCCCAATTGAAAACCCGGGGCTCCCCCAAGGAAATAATTGGGCCCCGATTTTTTCATATTGGCACACAAGTGCCCCAGACCCAAACTTTCATGTCTAGGGGACTCCGGCCTATCACACCAAAAGAAGGGAAAGAAAAAAAAAACTCCGATCTAAAGTTTGAAACCCCCGGCATGTCAACGCAGATCTAGGTTTTTTGGGCATTTAAGGGTTTAAAATATGTTAGGAAATTTTGGGGGTGGGAGAGTTTTTTTTAGGAATAGGAAAAAGATGGTCTTTCAATATGACACTAATGTCAAAACCCCCGGTTTAATTTTTCTTCACAATTCATCTAATACGACATAAAAACACACAATCCCCTGAAAGAAAAAATACGTCATTAAGTAGTCATGAGTGTTTTCTGTGTTTTTTTATTGTTTTTGGGTGTATAAGGGAAACACAGAGGGGGAGAGAAATAGAGAAAGGGGACGTTGTCCCGTCGCCCTATATAAACCCCAAAAACACTGGATTTTGGTTTGGTTTCTTTTAATCGCTTAACTTTCTTGCTAACCCCTTGGGTTTAAAGCAAAAACTTTTTCACCCGGGTTGGGGTTATAGCCTTTATCGACTTTCCCGATCTTTAAATATCTACAGTAGAATCACTGGGAAAAAGGCCCCTTCTATCCTTCTCTCTTCCCCTCCACTTTGGGGACTCTTATTTCAAGTTCTTCCCCTTTAATTCTTAGTTTTTTTCACCAAAAGGGCTGGAACTAGTAAAAATATTTTATGATGGTTTTTTTTTAAAATTTTTTTTACTGTTCATGGTTCAAAGGGTTAAAAAACAGTATTGTAATTTTACAGTGGGCCCCGACAAAAAGCTATTTAAAAACCCTTCCTGAGAGCTCATCGTTTGTCAAAATTTTCGTTAGCAAGTTAAAATTTTTCCCCCCAAAAAAAATAATTGGGAAAACAAATTAAACCTTTCAAGACACCCAAAAAAGAAAAAAAAAAAAAAATTTTAAAAAATGAAATTTTTAATTTTTAAAACACAAACTGAAGAAACAAAAAACAGGGTTTTTGAACTTAAAAATTTTTTGGGGAAAACGGGGAAAAATTGATGGGAAGGGGGGGGAGGGGAACGTGGAAGGAGTTAAATGGGTTTTTAAGGGGGAAACCCCTTAAAATTAGACGAGGTGGCAAGTCCTTTTTCGGGGGTTTCTTCCCCTTCTTTTTTTTAAAAGCCACAAGGCCCCCTTTTAGAGTCACGGACCTCTGTTTTCCCCAAAAATATCGTCTTTTAAGGCCCGTACCTCCCGTTCCCTTTTTGACCATTCCTAAAATGGGTTTTAAAAACATTTTTCAGTGTCACAATTTAAAAACTTGTTCAGGTTTCAATTTTTTCACTGTCATGTAAATCCCCTTTAGTTCCTGCACATATTTTTTCCCGCTGCTTTTTGGTCCAAACTGGGACCCACCATTCCTTATCACAAATATGTAGGGCCCCAAAATTCCTTTTAAAACTCTCAAAAACCAAACCCTTTTCAAGCCTTAAATTCACTCACATCACCACTAGTTGCTGGCATTTTTCTAATTAAACCCTCATGCAACTTCCTAACCTTTTCACATATGATCGCTTGAGAGATGCTATCTCCTGCTATCTGTTTTTCGTTTATCCACACCAATAACAGTCTCTCAACATCTTCTATCACTTGCGATCTCAGTTTCAAAAACATAGTTGCACCTTTGGCAAGAACAGCTTCCTTGATTGCTGTTTTCTTGGCCACAATAGTAGCGATGGTTGATTGGGGTTTTGTGTACAGCCTGGCCAGCTCGGAGACACGCTCTCCACTTTCATACTTAGCAATGATCTCTTCTTCATATCCATAGTAATTCTCACCCTTTTTGCTGTAGGGTTGGCACTAGAAGCTTTCCTGGGGCCCATGGTGGCTTAGTTTGCAGGTGCAATCACTAAAAAGGCTGTGATAATATGAAATGTTCCGTTTGTATGCTTGGAAGCGACCGCGGTGGCTGGCTGGCTTGTAAACACTGGCCAGAAGTGGACGCATCTCAGACGGAACGAATAGTGTTGGTCGAGTTTTTTAGCACTAGTCGAGGCAAAAATTTTGCGTTAAAATGTATCGCTGGTCGGATTTATCGTTAATCGATGCCATCGTTGGTCGAGGGTCCACTGTATTTCCGTACAATATATTGGGGCACTAAACATTCATGATTTTTCAACATTCGCGAGGTTCTTGATCCCCTACCCTCGCGAATGTTGAGGGAGACCTGTACATCACAACAATGAACTACAATTAATGTTCACTTTTATTTTTGTAAGCTGTGGAAGCCTTAAAAATGTTGTTTGGCTTCTTTGGGGGGCTCTCAGGAATGTAATCCTATTTTTCTCATGAGTTCTTCAGTTCATCTAACCCAGTCTTGCCTAACAGGGCACTTTCAGGAACCTAACTACCATGTTAAATTAGGGTCTATTGTATTTTTAAATGTTTATACAGTAGTGTACTATAAATTGTAATAAACAGAACAGAAGAAATCAGCTCTAATATACATTATTTAGATATGCATACTGGTCAGGTCCCATCGTATGTCCGAGTTGTCAGTAAACGAGTACATCGCTAAGTGAGGAGAGGTTGTATATATTAATGCAAAATATTATAGTCCTAGATGTAAGTTAACCCTTTCAGGGTCGAGAGGCCCTCTCCCAAACTCGTTCTCAGGGTCGAAATTTTTTTGGAAAAAAAAAAAAAAATTCTTATGAAATGATAGAGAATCTTATCCTGATGATAATGACACCAAAAGTATGAAATTTGATGAAAACTTATGGAGTTATGCTCTCACAAAGTTAGCTGTCTCGACGATGTTTACGCATTGGCAATTTCGCCCACTTTGAGCCCTATTTTCGGCCAATTTCAGTGTACTAGTCGACAAAAATCATATCTATTTCGTTAGAGCTCCATTTTTTCTATCGAATGAGTACAAGAAACCACCCATTTACAGATTTCAAGTACCCAATAAAGTAGTCAGAAATTGGCAATTTTGCCGATTTCACACAAATTTCAAAAGATGCCAATTTCCAAATAGGGTCCAGAATAAGCAAGACAGACATTCCTGGCACTAAAATAAAATTTTCTCTGTTCATTAGTCACATCCCCAGGCCCCTCTTACATCCGTTTTGCTTTCCACTTTGAATTTTATTTTCACAAAAAAATAGAAGATTTACTGTTATGCAGAGTACTGCATTAGTGTAGAAATGGTGTAAAAATGGTATAAATAATGTCAGTGCACTTGTGGAAGAATATTAGACTCACCAGTTGATGTGTATTGGATGCCTGGCATGATTTGTTTACTTTTGAAATCTGGTAAAAATCGAACATTTCTGCTATTCTGAGCTCAATTTCAAGGTACTTTTCATTGTAAAACCAATCAAAATCATTGCAATTTCTGTAATATGTCTTCCATTCTATAAAATGAGACCAGGAAAACCAGAATACACCCATAAATACCATACAAAACCACACTGCAAAGTCGCTGTTTTAAACCAAAAACACGGTCGTAGTTTTTTTTTCTCATGCAATATGTGCTGCAGGATTTTTTTATACTGTGCACACTGACCACATAGGCCCATTCTTTCATATGTAGGCCTACCAGCTTTCTCTCACTAGATCTGAAGGTGTTAGAATTTAGGCATTCTAGTACGTCAATAACCCTGGTGCATAAGCTGTACTAGTACATTGGAAACCCTGAAAGGGTTAAGTTTAAGCTTGCCCAAAATGCTCAACATAACTAAGGGGCATGCCTTGTGAGAGAGGTACTGTCACCTAACTTTCTACGAACGATGTATCATGTTGCTAAATGGAGAATTACAGTGATAATGTACACATAGTTCAAGAAAATATAAACCTCAATGATATCGTACGTTATCATATTCGACAACAAGAGGTGGTAGCTGTGAGCACTCATATATGGGAGGTTGAAGATCACACTGAGTAGTGAGGACAGGGCCCAGAGTAAACACTGTCACAACCACTACTGCTCTCAACATGAAACTGACGATGCGAGCCAACATCTTGTGCACCATGATGAGAGAGAGACTCTGAAATGTTGAAATAAGAATTTGAATCATAAAAACTTCTATGCCATGAGATAACTACTGATATTTTATAAAACTGAATGGAACAGAGAGGTACTAAAGACAAAAAGGGCACTTCTGACAAAACAGGTACTGAATGAATGAATGATGTTGAATCTGGGGTCACCCTACCTTGGTAGGGTGACCCCACAATAATAATAATAATAATAATAATAATAATAATAATAATAATAATAATAATAATAATAATAATAATAATAATAGTAATAATAATAATAATAATAATAATAATAATATAATAATAATAATAATAATAATAATAATAATAATAATAATAATAAGAGAATTAATAATAATACTGGGTAGATGTATATCAGTTATGTAATCTATAAAAGGTATTCTCTTATTGCATAACCCCAGCCCTGTGCACCTCAATGAAGGTGAAAGCAACAGAGCAGTGTGTGGAATAAGTCATTAATGAAGTTATTAGTGTTAAAGATTGAAAGCAAACCAGGAGAGGTATTCACAAGTTATGTGGAAGCTAATACCCAATTTCTTCAATAAAAATGACAAATTACAGAATACACAGCCCAAAACTAAATCATGCCTTGAAGGCAGTCTGGAGAGCAGAGAGGTATTCTCTTGATATCAGAGACCAAAATACTAGCACATTAAGATAAAAGCCATTCACAATTTGCATTATCAAGTCATCAGCACTGAAGGGTGAAGACAGTTGAATGAAGCACTATTTTTTTTTAATGGGCTGTCTCCCACTGAGGCAGGGTGCCCCCAAAAAATGAAGAAATACTTTCACCACCTTTCACTCTATCAGTGTCTTGCCAGAGGCATGCTGATACTACAGTTCAGATACTCCTCCAAACAACAAATATCCCCACCCATTCTTCAGAGTGCAGGCATTGTACTTCCCACTTCCAGGACTCAAACCCAGCTAACTTGGTTTCCCTGAATTCCTTCACAAACTTACCTTGCTCACTCCAACATTTCATTAAATACTAAAAACCATCTGCCTCCACTAACTCCTATCTAACACACTCAATCATGCTGGATGGATGTCTAAGCCTCTTGCAAACAAAACCTCCTTTGCCCCCTCCCTCCAACATCCTAGGGTGAACTTTACCTTGCCTTCCCTCCACTGCAGATTTATACACCTTCCAAGTCATCCTATTTTGTTCCTTCCTAAATTTTGTAGTACATACAGGTAGTCAGGCTTCAAACACCTTTAATTGTACAGCAATAGAGTGAAACAGATTGTCTATGCATGTAAAACCCTGTCATAGCATGACCCAGTTCAAGAAAAGAGCAAAAAGTACCTAGTGAATGAAACTGCAAAAAGGGAGGAGAGTGATTTCTTGTATAGCCAAGCTTGGTGTATCTATTATTGTAAGCTGATCCTCTCTATTTAACCCTTTGACTGTTTTGGTCGTATATATATGTCTTACAAGCCAGTGTTTCAGACGTATATATACTCAATAATTCTAGCGGCTTCAAATCAAGCGGAAGAAAGCTGGTAGGCCCACATGTGAGAGAATGGGTCTGTGTGGTCAGTGTGCACCACATAAAAGAAATCCTGCAGCACACAGTGCGTAATGAGAAAAAAAAAACTGATCGTTTTTTTGGATTAAAACGCCGACTTTGAGGTGTATTTTTGTATAGTATTTATCGATGTATTTGCGTTTTCATGGTCTTAGGTGATAAAATGGAAAACATATTACAGAAATAGAGATGGTTTTTATTACTTAGATGATGAAAACGACCTTGAAACTGAGCTCAAAGTAGAGGAAATGTTCGATTTTTACCAATGTTCAGGAGTAAACAAATCACACCACACGTCCAATACACGTCAACTGGGGAGTCTAATATTCTTTCACTAGTGCACTGATATTATTTATACCATTTTTACAATAATGCAGTAGTCTGCATAACAGTAAATTTTGTATTTTTTTGTATGAATAAAAAATCAAAATAGAAAGCAATAATAATATAAGAGGGGCCTAGAGATGTGACTAATGAACAGAGGATATGTTATTTTAGTGCCAAGAATGTCTACCTTGTTCATTCTGGACCCTATTTTGAAATTGGCATCTTCTTTAGTTTGCGTGAAATTGGCCAAATTGCCAATTTCTGACCACAATATTGGGTAGTCCAAATTGGTAAATGGGAGGTTTCTTGTACTCAACTGATAGATAAAATGGAGTTCTAAAGAAATAGCTATGAGTTTGGTAAACTGGAACAACGGAATTGGCTGAAAATAGGGCTCAAAGTCGGCGAAATCGCCGAGACCGCTAACTTCGCGGGAACGTAATTCCATGAGTTTTCGACCAAATTTCGAACTTTTGGTGTCATTACCATCGGGAAAAGATTCTCTATCATTTCATAAGAAAAAATAATTTTTTTTTTTTCAAGAATTTAGCGACATAGAATGACACTTTCAGAAAGGGGCCTGAAACAGTCAAAGGGTTAATGTTAACATAAATAACTCAGGTTACTTTATTCCTACTGTATTACGTTTTATTGTAATTGATTTTCACACAGTTGAGATACTTAGCTGTTTTAACTTTTAAGGTTATAATCATGATGACTGATTCCTACTGTAACTTACCGCTACACTTGAACCCCTTGACTGTCACAACCCCAAATCCTGAGGTGTCTCCTGGTGTTGCAAAAAAAAAAAAAAAAAAAAAAACGATAGAGAATCTTTTCCCGATTGTAATGACACCAAAAGAACGAAATTTGATGGAAAACTGATGGAATTATACTCTCGCGAAGTTAGCGACCTCGGCAATATTTACGAATCAGCGATTTCGCCCACTTTGAGCCCTGTTTTTGGCTAATTCCATTGTTCCAATCGACCAAACTCATAGCTATTTCTTTAGAACTCCATTTTTTCTATCGATTGAGTACAAGAAACTGCCCATTTACCGATTTCAACTACCCAATAACGTGGTCAAAAATTTGCAATTTGGCCAATTTCACGAAAATTAAAATACAGTGGACCCCCGCATAACGATATTAATCCGTTCCTGAGAGCTCATTGTTATGCGAAATTATCGTTATGCGAATGAATTTTCCCCATAAGAAATAATGGAAATCAAATTAATCCGTGCAAGACACCCAAAAGTATGAAAAAAAAAATTTTACCACATGAAATAAACATTTTCCTACACACAAAGAGAAGGATACATGCACAATAGTAGAGTAGTACATGCACAGTATATATTGTGCATGTACTACTCTACTAAATGAAGAAAAAATGACACTTACCTTTATTGAAGATGCAGCAATGACTGATGAGACACTGTGTCCTGGGAGTGCCTTTTCCTCCTGAGTACTGTAGGTCCTGTTTGGCATTTTCTTCCAGAACAGGCCTTATCACACTGTGTATGCCACTACGATTCTTAAATCTCTCAAACCAACCTTTGCTGGCTTTAAATTCACCAATATGAGCACTAGTTCCAGGCATTTTTCCCTGTTCACCTGGGTGTTAGTCGACTGGTGTGGGTTGCATTCTGGGAGACAAGATTAAGGACCCCAATGGAAATAAGTTAGATAGTCTTCGATGACACTGACTTTTTTGGGTTATCCTGGGTGGCTAACCCTCTGGGGTTAATTGTGTATTGGTATTCTCAATAAGCCACACCAACAACGGTGCTACAGCAGCAACAGCAGCAGCTGACAGTGCTACAGCAGCAGCAGCTGACAGTGCTACAGCAGCAGCTGACAGTGCTACAGCAGCAGCAGACGGTGCTACAGCAGCAGCAGATGGTACTACAGCAGCAGCAGCAGCAGCTGACGGTGGTACAGTAGCAGCAGCTGATGGTGGTACAGCAGCAGCAGCTGACAGTGCAGCAGCAGCAGCAGCTGACAGTGCTACAGCAGCAGCAGCAGCTGACAGTGCAGCAGCAGCAGCAGCTGACAGTGCTACAGCAGCAGCAGCAGCAGCAGTTGACCATTGTACCACAGTATTTCGATAATATTTCTCGCCCTTTTTACCACAGGGTTGGCACTAGAAGCTTTCTTGGGGCCCATGGTCACTTTTTTTGCAGATAAAATCACCAAAAACGCTGTAATACGAAATGTTCCGACTGTATGCTTGGATGTTACCACGGAGGCTGGCTTGTAAACAATGCCACCGGCAGAACATGTGAGGCTAGCTCAGGCCGCACATTAGACACGTCTCGGACGAATAGCGTTGAGCGGGTTTTTTAGCGGTATGCGAGGCAAAATCTTAGCGATAAAATGTATCGGTATGCGGATTTAACGTTATGTGATGTCAACGGTATGCGGGGGTCCACTGTATATGACAATTTCAAAATAGGGTCCAGAATGAACAATGCAGACATTCTTGGCTCTAAAATAACATTTTCTTTGTTCATCAGTCACATCTCCAGGCCCCTGTGATATTACTCTTGCTTTCTATTTTGAATTTTTATTCAAACAAAAAACAGAAGATTTACTGTTGTTATGCAGACTACAGCAATACTGTAATAATTGTATAAATAATGTCAACCCATTCATGACTGCATATTAGAATGGCTACTTGGACATTTATTGGAAAATGACATTATTTGTTAACTTTTGAACAAGAGCAAAAATGAAACATTTCCCCTATTTTGAGCTCCATTTCAAAGTTCTTTTCATAGTAAAACCAATCAAAATCAAATCTATTTCTATAATATGTTTTCCATTCTATCAAATGAGACCAAGAAAACGAGAATACAACCATAAATATTATACGAGAATAGACCACAAAATCGGCATTTTAATTAAAAAAAAAAGTTGGAGTTCTTTTTTTTCTCATTATGCACTGCATGCTGCAGGATTTTTTTTATATGGTGCACACTGACCACACAGACCCATTCTCTCACATATGGGCCTACCAGTTATCTCCTGCTTGATCTGAAGTCGCTAGAACTTATGAGTATATATACGTCAAAAACAGTGGCTTGTAAGACGTATATATACGACCAAAACAGTCAAAGGGTTA